CAAGTAAGGTTAAAATTGCAGTACACCCATTATTAGAATAATTTTAGAAGGAATTCAAAATAAATGAGGCCTAATAACATCAATTTGGAAAAATTATATATCAACATATATCATATTGTGTCACAGCAAAATTGCAAAAATGAGGTTTGTTTTATCTAATTTCTTATTCATAGAGGTTATTTACAAAAAAATTAAAATTAATGAACAAAATGTATGAAGTGGGTTGACCTAGTTATCGCAACTTGGTCTTGTTGTCAGGGTGACTTAGTAGAACGCACCTAGTCTGAAGTCGTCTGCCCTAGTAGTTGTCATGTTTCCCAGAATCAGACAGTGGACTTTGTACATTCTCAAACGTTTTGGCGGTATCACAGTCAGCACCATCAGTGAGTGCTGCCATTCTTCGCACCAAAATACGAACTCGTCAAAGAGACAAGTGAAGTCAATCCCTCGACAAACGTTCTGCCGAAAAGGGTTACAATATCACTCCCCTTTCTGTCCTGGCCTATCTATCTACTTTTTACCCTCTTATCAAACTCGCGCCTTATAGCAGACGGCTTCGGGCTAGGTGCGTTCTACTAAGTCGCCCTGACAACAAGACCAAGTTGCGACTACGAGGTCAACATACTTCTATAAATCGAAAGGAGACTGCGACCATACCAGTGGCCACAAAATCTTGGTCCTCATTTCTTTGATTAAACTACGGTAGTAAAATTGCCAAACAATGCACTGAATACAGCCGGATAAAGAAGATAATTGAAAGTCAATCTTGCTATCTGACTTGTTTTAAACTTTGTAAACGTTATAGTGTCACTCGCAAGTTCTGTGACCTTAAAAGACCCTACCACTCGGATAACGTTAATAAGTATCTTCCCCAGGCTTCTATTCAGAAATTAAGTAAGACCTATGTTACAGAAAGGAATAAGTTGTTTAAATGTATAGATATTAAGTCAAAGCTCCGGCTTGATCTGGCCAGGATTCTGTCTCCAGAAGATTTTCAAAAAGTCCAGAGTATGACCGACAGAAAATCACGTAGGATTTCTGACTTAATAACAAAACGGCAACATGATAAATTGCGTAAGTTTGAGATTAGAGTACAGCCTAAGTTAAAGTCAGTACGCCCAGTTGAAGTAGCTTCCGAGGTGACACACCTACTGATCAGCAGGAGAATCGGTACTAAACTTATCATTCATTCTTACCAATCCTGAAACAACCGCATTTCTGAAAAAAGGACACCATTTTTCAATTTAACATCACAGAAGCCTTCTAGGAGACATCCTGTTGGAGGTTATCAATATCGCCGACAAGTTCTCTGAGGAGACAAAACGGGAAATGGAAATGGAACTAATTTTAAAGATCTTGATAAATCAGGAACCTACACACAGGAACAGATTTGCCGTGATACTCAAAACCCTGGAAACGAATAAACAATTAGTCCTTAAGGCGGACAAAGGAGGAGCTTCAGTGATAATGGACATAAAATAATATACTGAGAAGATGAAAGAAATTCTACAAGACAAGACCACATATCGTATATTAAACAAGAACCCAACTATGAAGATCAACGGAATCTAAAGTGGCATACTGAAAGATATGCATAGGAATGGGGAAATTGACGCATGGACAAGAAATGCAATCATAAGAAAGGATGCACGACCACCAACAGCATACTTATTACCAAATATTCACAAAGAAGGCGAGTCACTAAGGCTGATAGTCAACAACAAGTATGGAGCAATACACAAACTGGCAAAGTTAATATGTTTGAAACTCAAGAAATTAAATGAGATGGTATCAAACACGGTGAAACATTCTTATGAATTTTCTCAAAGAATCAAAAACATGGCACTAAAAGAAACGGACCTATTGGTAAGCTTTGATGTGAAATCGATGTATACAAATATCTCTAAAGAAAATAGGCTAACAGCCCTGCTTAAAATCCTGAACCGAGAGGAGGATATCCCGGAATCACAACGGATCGGTAGGAGTCGTTAACAAGACTAATCAACTTGACAATAAGGACAACCTATTTTACATTCAACGGGAATGCCTATGGACAAATATTTGGACTTCTCAATGGATTGCCGTTTTCACCACTTTTGGAAAACGTGTACAGCTACAACCGGCAATGATCATGCAGTACCTGGATGATTATTTCGCACTATGATCACATGGAAGAGAAAAACTGGAAGAGCTTCTAATGTTTGTAAACAAGATTGATGGAAAAATTAAATTCATTATTGCAGTAGAGTAGGGTGAGCGGTTACCGTTCTTAGACGGTAAGGTTATTCGCTCTAATAAAGGCTCAAAAAGAAATTGTTCAGAAAGAACTCTTATGCTGGGATAATACTTAATTTCCGGTCCTATCAAAATTACAGGCTAAAGTTTGGAATAATGAGGAGCTTGATCACCCATAGCCTAAGCCTAAGGGATGTAAAATTCTGGGACTAGGAGTTGGACAAATTAACTAGGATATTCCTCGCCAACTGCTACCCAATAGAAGTAATACAAATGGACATACTGGCCATAAAAATCCGATGGCAGAACGGGGACTATGAAAGAACAGTAAGGACGATGAAGTATTCACCAAAGTGGATATGCCTACCTTCCTGTGAACTAACTCAAAAATTATGGCCAATATTTAGGAAATGGAATATTCACGTGGCCACGAAAGAGAAATCAACACTTTTTACAAGTCTACCGACGCAACATAAAAGGGTAGATAAATTGGATTGTTCAGGAATTTACTGTATATAATGCGGCGCCTGCGAACAGAAATATATTGGCGAAACAGGGAGAAAGATTAGCATACGAATTAAGGAACATCAAAAGTTCTGCAGGGAAATGGATACCAAAAAATCGAATTTGAGAAACACATCGCAAAGACTGGACACGAGATCAATTGGGCGGCAACAAAAATAACGGCCCATATAGTGACAACACAAGGAAGCGGGAGATTAGGGAGGCCATTGACATCCTTGTGGAGAAAAATCTAATGAACAGGAGATTGGAGGAAGGTAGAGTTAACAATAACTTTGCCTTCTGCCTAAACAAACTTAGGGAAAAAAGAATAGAGCAAGACCAGCAAAGAGGAGACGCCTGGAGTAAGGGTCTATCGCTAACTGGAGGAAAAGCGATCGCGATGAAGAAAGTGGGGGGCGGGGGTTCGGGGCAATCAAGCGAAGGCGTTATAAGTGACTGATGGCTATTTCGAATACACCAGTACAACTTTGGGGGCCTGGCAGTCAGGAGGCTGGGCAGACGGAACGGCAACTCGTCCCTGTCCATATGTATAAAAGACGAACAACATTACAATCTTTATTATGGCGATGACTTTTAGCAGTGAAGATACAAAAGTTTACATCTATTCAACTTGGAATATAGTAGTTACTAACTTTTGAAAGTAGTATATAATAATTATATATAATATAGTATTAAAAAATGCTCAATTTAACATTTTTATCAAATGAAGCATTCAGGAAATTGGTGCTATAATTAAAAAAATATGGTAGCTTAGTAAAGTTAGTGATATTTTATATTACCTATAATTCAATTAATGACAATGTAACTAAAATATCACATACTAATTAGAATATTTCGAATGGAATTTTTGCAGATGATCTAATGTAATAATTATCGCTAAATATCTAGTTGAATAAAATAGTATGGTAATTAGAGTTTCTTTCATTTTTATTTTTAAATTAAACTGGGTTTACAATTATATTTAGACCTTGAATCATTAAATTTTATTCTTGGAGAGCTGAGCTCCCATTCAATTAAAACTAAGCATCTTTTGATCTGACTTTGATGAAGCTTGGCCAAAGTGAAATGCGAATTTTAAGATGCTTTCTTTTCCTTAAATGTCACCTGAGGCTTGTGACTCATTGGTAATTAAGCTATGCAGTGGAGGGCAAACGATGTGGTAGACACGAATGATAATGGTATTTCCAAACTCGTAAAGTGTGCTTATGATTTCCATGTGAAATCAAAATTGCAATCATCCTTAAATAAGAAGGCATTTTTGGATACATGATGAAATTCCCAACTTATATCTTTTTCCATACTGTAGGCGACATAGTTTTATATTATTTCTTTTAAAAGATCTATTGAATAATTTTCAAAGGGCTTAACAAACACGATTACAATTTGTTAAAAAATAAACAAACGAGCCCTATAGAATGATTTGGACTAATATTAAGACACTTGACTAAATCTTTCGACCAAAAAGACAAGACCCTCTCACCGAGTCTAAGGACGATAAGCTTATAGTTCTGACTGTTATTTTTACATTAATTATGTGAGAGCCCTTTAAGTAGTAAGGAAAAACAAATAGAAATATATTTATCACACTTAATTTGCTGGCAAACCCCTGCTTTCTTCACCGACACTAGCACTAATTGTGAAATGAGTAAGGTTTTTATGGAAAATGGAGTGTTGTGTACTAATAATATGTAAAAAAGACTCTACAGTACTTGTGCTTGATTCCTAGTAAAAGTTTTGATGTGAATGATGTTTCCGATATTGCCGAGTCAATCTTAAATGAATTTCACTAACAACTTGTTGCCTATCCATATTATCTGGTTGAAACGTTAACTATTGACCCTTATGATGCCCGTGGTAAATATAATACTCAATACAGGCCATTGATTCTAGATATTTTTCCAGGTAATT